CCCCCCCAAAAAAATCAAGATAGCCCAATGTGTCATACCCTGACCTGAGAACTGAAATTTTAAATATTATTCTTCCCAGGAATCCATTCTGTGTTCACCACTCTCTTCTTCTTTCTTTCAGCTTGTGGTGTTTTAAATTATCTATTTGGTGTAGTTCTAATTAAAGAAAAATTGAAAGTTTAAATATCAGCCTGAACTTTATCATTTGTCTTTATATTAGGTAAGGCCCATTTTAAATGCAAATGTAAGCATTTAAATGGTATGCAGGATCATTAAAATTATAAAACTTGCATTTTATGGTTCATGTGTGTGCACGTGTGTGTATATATGTATGCACAGAATCAAATGTTTTTATTTCACTTCTTGGCATGTGCATGTTATTCCAACACTTTCTGTCATGGGCTCACTGATAGGAAGGGCCACAAAAAAAGAAAAGGATCTGTGAGTTTTCTTATATTTCCCCTTCCTCTGCCATCATTTTCAGTATAAGTGATTGGCTCAAACAGGGAAGTAAATGAAAAAGACAGCAGAGTTCTTAGGCTGATCATGTTTCACACACCACTGCCTGCTTTCTGCATGCAGAACAATTTTGGTTCAAACTGAAAGCAGAGCCCTTTGGAGCGGTCAGTGACCTGCTCAGTCCGAGACATAATGTGCTTACCTGCTCCTGCTCTGAGACCTGCCGAACTCCTGTGTGTTGTGGGCCTACCAGGATTCTGTGCTCACGTTCATTCAGAATGCTATGTGTAGATGGGACAGCAAGACGCAGTGGGCATATTGTGCTTGTCTCCCCTGCTCACAACATGCTCCGTTGACCCAGACGACCTCATGCATGAACACAAGATCACAGATAAAAGTACTGAAAATTTCAAAATAGGCAGCATATCTTTAAACTATGGTCAGCGCCTTCAGAACAAGAAACTCATAGCTCTAGGGCTGCACATCCGTGAAGTTGGCCCTGCCTCCATGGACTTGACTCCTGCCACTCTGGGCCCCACCGTCTCGCTGTGTTCCTTCCTACTGGGGGTATGTATTCTTTCCTGTGGCCTGAGTGTCTCTACATTCCCTTCCCGTTATCTTGGTCCAGGCTTCACACCACGTCAGAGAACTTCTGGCCCAAAGTAACTCTCCATCAGTGTGCGCACCACAGTCACCACTCTTCGTTTATATATTTGCTTATTTCCTTCCCTCCCTGAATGGCAAGTGGGTTGTAGGCCTGAGTCTGGCTTTGTTCATGATTGCCGTAGCAGTGCCCAGTATGTATTTCCTAATAAATATTTATTGTGTGGATGAAAGGATGATTTAACAAGTGAATATTGTTGCAACAGGAATACAAGTTTCAGGTGTAAAAGTGGAATAAACAAGAGTACCATGAATTTGGGTTTTTATTCTAGGGTTGCTGTAGCCTGATTCAGTTTGAGCTGGTGAAAAATGAGTGAGCACAGCATTGCCCTTGTTTGCTTGTCTGCCTTTATAACTAGATAAGAAGTACTTGAGAATATATGATCCTTATATTTGAAGAAGTCCAAGTTATTTATCTTTGTATCTTCAGGCCCCATGCAGAGCCTAGTACAAGTTGGCTGTGAAAAAAAATCATATCTTTTGAACTGCATTGAGCTAGATGGAAATTCATGACCTTGAAGTCATCCCTGTGCCCCCCTCCTTCTCTTTCTCCTTTCCTTCCCTCCTCTCCTTTCTCTTCTAAAGGATTGCTGAGTCTTAGAACGGCCTTGCTTGTGATCAGATGTTTTCAATAGAAAATTACCCTCATCTAGTTTAGGTTTAACTTGGCTCTTTAAAGAGAAATGGTCTGATTAGCCTTATAATCATGGCAGTGGTTGGACACTCCAAAGATTGTCCCAGAACCAGTCTGGGGACATTGTAACAGTCTCATATTGGCATTGATCCTGGAATAAAATCACAGGGAAGTCACTTCAGAAGATGGTATGTTCAATCCCAGCTAATCCCGAGCAGAAATTAAAATTGAGGATCAGATAAAACCTGTGGAGATCAGTTAAAACCCTGAAGGCTACAGGACTAGCCTGGTCAGAATGGGCAAGACTGAAATGCCCAGTGCTCCTGAGCAACACCAGCTAACAGGAACCAGTGTTCTTGTTAGAGCCTGCTCCACAACTTTTCTGTCTTGTCCATTATTCTCCAACTCCATTAGAAAAATAGCCAGAAGGAGAGGTAGTGAAAATGGAATGTTCATAATGAAATTGAAGATCGAAGAAATAATAATAAAACAAAAGCCTAAAGGTAGGATTGGTATTGATTGAACATCTCAGAACACATTGTTAGTGAGAGATCAGGGCATGCTTTCTATATGTAAAATGTGGGATTTCTCTCTTGTGCAAGACTTGAATTGGAATAGTGAATGCTCCTGGAAACATCCCCAAGTGGTCCCCTTTGAAGTTACAAAACTGTCTGGAGATGATGTGGCAAAGTGGAAAGCCCATGGTTTTCCAACTCAGCCATACCTGGGTTTAATACCCAACTTCAGCTTTGTGACCTTGAGCAAGTAATGAATTTCCCTAATTGTGTTCCTCCTCATCCTCCTTCTCCTCCTCCTCTTTCTTGTAGTATGTATAACTTTATATAAACATCTGCTTACTGATTTGTTTTGAAAGTCAAATGAGACCACTGAGATAGTGGTACAAAGCGGGCTGCCCAAGCAGGCATGCAGTCATGTTATCCCCTCTCCTCATGGTGTCAGTTCATACAAACAGTTGGGCAGGACCTGGACCAGTGTAAGGCAAGCAAGCACTTGGGTCACCTTGAGAACAAGACCTCCTGTAACATCCTAGGTGCTTTGCTTGCCTCTCTCTGGTCCAGGAAGTATAACTGGGCAGTGTCAGCCCAAGGTTGAGGTGTCACACTGTAGATGCCCTCCTCAACACCATCTCCCAGACCATCTCACAGATGACACAGTTAAGGCCCAGAAAAGCAATTTCATTTCATTTAAACCTCTCAGTTAGTAAGTGGCAAACCTAGAATGTTGGTCTGGAGTCTCAGTGTAAGCTTCTGTTTACTCCCCAAGTAGCCTACAGCCAATCTGTCTTGTCCATATCATACTACACTCTGCTATCCCTTTTGCTATGAACTGTCTCTCTGGACATCTGGACATCATCTCTTCAACAAGTCTATAAACTTTTTAATATAGGAACAAGATGTCTCGAATTTTTAGTACAAGGCATTTACTACAGGTTTTGCTTACAGTTGGGGTTCAAGAAATACATATCCATCAATGCAGGGAAAAAAGTGTTCACGTGGCCTTATTATTTTAATGCAGAGAAATAGTTATAATAAGCATTAACCTAGCTGAAGGAAAGAAATGCATTAATTTCACAACATGTTTAGCTCTTTAAGAAGTTAGCTTTTCACGCTCCACAGGGAATCCTGAACTCACATAGACTCACCCCCACTGTTTGAAGAGAGAAAATTGCCACTGAGTGGCTGCTCTGTCACCACTGGGAAGGAGTAGGTGGGGAGAAATAATGGTCGGAGAGGTAGAAGGAATTTCACTGCAGTGATGTGGGCTGTTTAAAACACTAGTGAAGGAAAGAGAACAACACTGCTCTAATAATCTCCTGGAGAGCCTGGTAAACTGCACATTCTAGTCCAGGAGGTCGGGTTGGGCTCTGGAATTCTGTATTTCTGACAGGCTGTGGGTGATGCTGATGTTCCTGGTTTGTGCACCACAGTTTCAAGTACTGGGAATATTGTCACAGGACAAAGGGTTGTGAAAAGCCTTGGTGTTTTGTTTTAGTCCTTCCTTCTGCAGCCATTTGTCTTTCGACTGTAGGCAAGTTCCCTAATTCCAGACTGGGCAAAAAAAAGTGGGAAATCTGGGAAAATCAGCCAGCTCCCCAGCATGATGACTCACCTTTTTCCCTACCAGGATGCATCTAATGGGTGACATTTCATTTATATTTCGCTCTTCATGAAGTGAACACATTGGTGTGAATCTCTGGAGACCAACATTTCTGATCTGAAAATTCTGTTTATGAAGGAAATTGCGCGGAGTTTTGGGTCCGTGAATCTGGCCCAGTAAAGGCAGTATTTCAGGGTGGCAATTCCCAGGGCCCCCACTCACTACCTTCCATCCTTCTGCAGGAGAAATCTGTGCTTTCAAGATCCATGGCCAGGAACTGCCCTTCGAGGCTGTAGTGCTCAATAAGACATCTGGGGAGGGCCGGCTCCGCGCCAGAAGTCCCATCGACTGTGAGCTACAGAAGGAGTATACATTCATCATCCAAGCCTATGACTGTGGAGCTGGGCCCCGGGAGACAGCCTGGAAGAAGTCACACAAGTGAGTGGCCCATCACAATTCCCTGGAGGCCTAGTCCCTCCCTCGCCCACCACCTCCACTCACTGTATCCACGGGCTGCCCTTTAGGCATCTTTACGCCCCAGCCCTGACCCAAGTCTTCCCAGTTCCCTAGGTCCCTGCAGCAATTTGGACAGTCTGTATTCTAGTCCAGAAATAGTCTACCCACCAGTCCTTGCTGGAAGGTACTTCCTAGGCCATCTTCGGGACTTCATGTGTCCCTTCTTTCACAACGCCTCTGGTAAGCCAGATCCTTCCAGCAGAGAAGAGGTAGGAGTCCCTGGCCTGACTGTCTTGTGGTTTTTCCACACACTTGGCCTTGGCCTGAGTCAGCAGCCCTCAGAGGTATGAAAGGACAGTAAGACTATCTTTACCATCATCTCTTCTTTCCAATGTGTGATCCAGGGCCGTGGTCCACATCCAGGTGAAGGATGTCAATGAGTTTGCTCCCACCTTCAAAGAGCCAGCCTACAAAGCCATGGTAACAGAGGGCAAGATCTATGACAGCATACTGCAGGTGGAAGCCATAGATGAGGACTGTTCCCCCCAGTACAGCCAGATTTGCAACTATGAAATTGTCACAACGGATGTGCCTTTTGCCATCGACAGAAATGGTGAGTTTCCTGAGAGGATCCCAACAGGACCGAGGAAATCAGCTGCCATTCTGAAATGTATGAGATTCTTGATCTAAGCTTCTGACCCAGAACTCATTTCTGGACTCAAAGAAATATCCCTCATGTGATTAGCAGCCCTGCCAGGTCTGAAATGCCTCTCAGGGAATCTCAAAAACCTATTCACTGAATACAGTCTATGGAACTCAGTGCTACACAGTAGCACTCTCATACAGATACTGAAGAGAGTTTCGTGGTAGAATTTTCCACTTAACATCCAGATGTGAGTGTTTGAATCAAATCATTTGACCATATCTAGACCCCTTTCCTGCATGACAAGTTATAATATGACTCTCTACCACAAAAATCTACCTCTATCTCCCAAAGAAATGCTCCCAGAGCAGATGGGGATTTTGAACCACCTTCCAAACCACAAATGCATTCAGGAAGCTTTAAAGTCCTTATTGGTGTCTTTTTTGAGAATTTCCGCCCTAGTGAGAACCTCAATTCCAGATTGAACTAAACTGAAATCAGTGCTATGGAACCATTTGGATATTTCTCCATCACCATTAATATGGAAATTGTTGTAGTGTAAACTCCACAACCACAGTCCAAATCAACTTAACCCATTTTTACTACAATTTTCAAAACTTTATTTATAATGAAAGGGTAATGTTTGTCAGATGTATTTTTAAATTATTAGTATTAATGTATGGGTGTCTGTATATTATCTCTATTTTTTTCTCTCATTGAGTTTTTTGGTACATTTTAGGGATACAGTACAGTTACGTTCATCATTGGGATCTTGTACCTTTACATGACAGGTCTTGGTTCTCATTATTTCCCCTTGTCCCTGCCCTCCCTTTACCCGCTCCTATCCTCCCCATTTACAAACACTTTATTTCCATTTTTTCATTTTCTCATATTTTTTTATTTTCTCTCATTACCTTTCCCCTACCCTTCCTACTTTCCCTACACCTTTAACCCTTTTCTTCCTATTTCACATTGTCAATTATATCATTAGGATCGTATGCACTGTTATAGTTTTGTTTCATATTACATTTAAGTACTACACAAAGATGCAAAAATTGCAAGACCTAAAATTAATACACCCTATAATTAAATACTGAGTGTTTCTAATTATTTACTGAGTATCAGGCATGGTGCTAGACACTTGGGGTGGAGACAGAATGAAATTCCAAGCAGATGTGGGCCTGACCACATGGAGTTTGCTATCTAGTGAAAATGAAAACAGAATTGGGGGAATCAAGGGTAAAATTCATGCACAACACATGCCATGAACCAGAGTTAGGAAAAACAAATGAACAAACAAAAATTAGCCAATATCTAGGGGGAAACTGCATCTGTGACCTGCCTGCAGATCTTTAGTAAAGCTCCTTTATGTTGAGGCCGTAGAGAAATTTACTCTATGCTGTAATCTGTATCCTGAAAACTGCAGCAGATTTCATGTGGGGCGGAGCTATGTTAAGTAGTTTATGTTCTGTCCTGAAAGACAAGCTGATATTTATAAGACAGAAAAAAATAGTAACAGTAACACAGTAGTTTCCCCATAAAAGACTAAAAGACCCGAGAATGAAAATTGCTTACCTAGACATCACTAGATGCTGATTGTACTGGGCACAAAGTCACTGTACAAGAAAATAAAGGAGGTAATATTGGACTTCAATTAAAGTTTGCTTCAGAACTAAGAAGATAATTTTACTTAGTACAGATTGCCAGACTCACTCCCTAATAGTTTTTCCCTGTGAAATACCTGGCCCATCCCCAAAGATACACACACACACACACACACACACACACACACACACACCACTTTATAAAATATAAAATAACTACTTTGTGTTTGGGGGGTTCCATTCTTCTATTTGCAGTCTGTCCCCATAAAAGCATTGAGATTTGGGAAATGATGATCCACAGTGAGTAAGCAAGACCAGACAAGTGGAGGTATCTGCGATCAGTGGTCAAGTTCCACTTGGCTTCCTGCCCTATTTTGAGGAAACAGAGCCCAGTGAGAAATGATATGTAAATTCTTTCATCTAGGGTAAACTACCCCAGCCATGAAGACAATTACTCACCTTGATGAGCCATTTCACTAACATATGCCAATTTATTTCCCTGGCTGTCTCATTAAAAGTGAGTAATGGGCCTTTGCCAGGCCTTTGCCTCCAACTTTGGTTTACAACAGAAGATGAAGAGGAGAGTGGGCACTCCTGGGAAGTGTGGGTCCCCAACAGTGAGGTTTAAAAAAGTCATTCTCCAAGTAATGAAGGCAGGACCTAGGGTCAAACACAGCAGCAGCTTCCATTCTAATGAGCTGCCAGTTGGCCCTTATCCACCACCTCTCTGGATGACCTTCTCAGCTCCTTGAAGGAGTTCTTTGCATATGTGCCCATCAAGGGGAAGTGCAACTGAAATCAGGGTCCACTCATTGAGGCCTGGGTTTTCCACGTCCTTTGCTTCATGGCTTTAGGTAGGTGCCTCCTTATCCATCCAACCTGACAGGCTATTTGCTTGTGAGGGAAATAAGGGAGAGCAGAAGACATTATGTGGAGTCAGCTTGACCTATCTTTAGAGACTAAACTCCTTCCAATTGGAGTCCTTTGGATTCTCTCCCTTTGAATTTCACTTCCATGAAATTTAGGCAACAGTAATCCCCTTTTCATTCTGGGACCATGATGCCTTAGGTTCTTGCCATATGAGGAGTGCTCAATAATTGTGCCATGATTATTGGATATTTGTCTGGGTGATTGGGACATGAGGTTTATTCACTTTCCATGGATTTCTAGGTTGCAATTATGGGTACATCACTGTAAATTTAGACTTTACATCCTCCTGTAAAGTTCTTAATCCATTTCAAGTGGGATACAGCCCTCAATCTGCTGGCACTTGGCCAGGCTCTCTGAGATAAGCAGAGCTTAGATCTCTGTTTCTATTGGACAAATGGAAAAACTGAGTCCTAAGGCACAAATAACCTCCCCCAGTAACTTGTCATACTGATTGCAACATGGGGACTGGAAACCAGCAGCAGATCCTGTCAGATTTCACCACTTAAAGACTCCACTTTTTTTTTTAACTTTTGCAGTTTCTGGGCACCTGAATAAATAGCTCTCCCTCAGCAACACCTACTGCCATGCATAAATTAACAGCCGGTCCTGAAGCCATTCATGTTCATAGTACTAGCTATAGTTCTAGCAGCTGTGCATGCATATGGAGCTACCAACTCCTACCCTGGACAGCCATTGACCCAGCTGCCCACAGCTGGTCCTACAGCATCACACAATCATGCAGCCAGTCCCACCACTCCATCACTTGCTACACACCCACATTTGCGCCCACAAATAGTCTCTGAAACTGCATACATACTCATACCAGCTTGCATCTCACAGCTGCATACATACATCCAGCTGGCCTAATCTGTTGCTGTTCCTCATCACCAGCTAGATTCTTACAGCTGACTCCTCCAACTTTACATATGCACCGCGAGCCTTTAGTCCTCTAGCTGTACACACACACACACACACACACACACACAAACACCCAGCACCTGTGTGCCCACAGTTAGCCCTGAAACAGCCCTTATGACCATGCGCATGCTTGCATCCAGGTGCATGCAAACCACTGACCTCAGCCCCCACTGCATCAGTCCCTTGTCAATGTACCTTGGGACACCACTAACAGTTCTCTCAGGCACCCTAAACCTCCCACAGTCCTTGCCACATCAAGGACCACACTGTCACTGATGTTGCAGACCCTTGTTTCTTCAATCAAAAAGACATCATGCCCCTCCTTGCAGATATGGAGTCCCTGCATGCTAGCCACTAGGCATAGTGTCAAGGCGCTCTCCAGGGTTCTTCATCCCACACAGGTGAATGTCATTCCCTACCAAAGCCAGTCTATACAGTATGGGAAAGGTGACTCCTTTTTCACATTCTCAAACACCTATCCAGTGCTACAAGAACCATAAAGGGTCAGGAAAATGTGACACGGCCAAAGGAACATAATTATTTACCAGCAGCCAGTGCAAGCGAACCAGAGAACTACGAATTGTCTGATATGGAGTTCAAACTGTTATTTGTTTGTTTGTTTGTTTTTTGAAAGAAGCTCAATGGCTACAAGAAAGCATGCATGAGCAATTTTACTAAATTAGGCAAATAATATAAGAACAAAACAAAAATATCAATAAAGAGATACAGAATATATAAAAGAATCAAACATGTTGGAGTCAAAGAACAAAGCTACTGAACTCAAAAATTCAACAGAAATCTTCAACATCAGACCCAATCAAATAGTAAAAAGGATAAGTAAAGTGAAAGACAGATCATGAAATTGTCCCATCAAAAGAGAAAAAAAGAAAATAGAATGAAAAATGCTATAACTGCCTCATAAGCACAAGGTCTATATATATATATATATATATATAAAATGGCTGTCCTGTTCCATTCATGTTGCTGCAAATGACAGTATTTTTAAAGGCAGAGTAATATTTCATTGTATAATTATACTGCATTTTCTTTATTCATTCATCTACTGAAGGGCTTCTGGAGAGATTATGCTGACTGAAACAAGCTAGGCAGTGAAAGACAAATACCACACGACCAGTAAATCACCCTGACAACACTATAGAGTAGAGTAGAGTAGAGGGCACTAGAGAAGCAGAAGGGTGAGGAAAGACAGAAAAAATTAAAAGGAACTTCCATGAACTGTGAAGGGTACTGTGGGAGAGAAAAATGGGGTCAAATGTACAAGAAGGGTAGATTGACCTCGCTGTACGATATTTGCATAGATAAAAATATCACAGTGAATCCCACTAATTTGTACAGCAAATATGTTACTACTAATAAAAAATGGCTTAAAAATCCCGAATATTTGGAAAGATCTAGACATCTAGGTATATGAAACTCAAAATTCACTAATCCCATCTAACCCAAAACTCCAGCCAGATACATTATAATCAAAGGGTCAATGGCTGAGTGTGTATCTCA